TTAGAGACCTGCATCAGTTAGGGCGTTCCTGCCACCATCACCTAAGTAGTGAACATTAGAGACCTGCATCAGTTAGGGCGTTCCTGCCACAATAACATGACACGCCAGGATATAACTGGAATAACCTTCCAATTGTCATTAAACAAAACTCACTCACTCTCCATCTTCTATCACAAACCCAAGTCATTGCTGTTGGAATGAGAATATTTACTATTTTATATCCTGAGAAACCTCAGAGAAGACACACAATAACAATTCATATTTAATTATTGTGATTATTAATTTATTGTCAAGCTGTTGAACTTACAGTGTAAAAGGTGCAATTTCTATCACATATTTCACTTACAAAACACTTCGTCGGGTCATGTGTCACATGTTGAAGGACACTGTGGACACACAGCCCAGTGATGTTTCACATGTTCCCTGACACATGGTCAGGTGATGTTTCACATGTTGCAGGAAACTTGGTCCAGTCGTGTTTCACATGTTGCAGGATATTTGGTCCAGTCGTGTTTCACATATTGCAGGACACTTCGTCCAGTTATGGCTTGTGTTACATGCTTCAGGAGATTTAGCAAGTAAAGTTGTCAAAATGTAATCAATCATCACCCAGTGGTTCCACCAACTGTCGCTCATCACCCAGTAGTTCCACCAACCTTCAATCATCATTTAATAGTTCTCCCTACTATCGATCACCATCCAGGAGTCCTTCAACTGTCGATCATAAACCCAGCAGTTCCACCAACCGCTGATCACCATCCTTTAGATCCACCAACTGTTTATGTCCAAGCATGTAAAATGCCATTTTTTATGATGATGTACTCAAAATGGTGTGGAAAAGGTGCACGACATTTGGTCCAGTCATGCTTCACATGTTGCCGTACAATCTGTCCGGTGATGTATTACATCTTGCACGAGAGGACATCCAGGTGTGTTTCACATGTTGCAGGACAGTTGATCCAGTTATGTTTCACATGCTGCAGTGCACTTGGTCCAGTTATGTTTTACACGTTGACACTGGGTCTGGCGATGTTTCACATTTTGCAAGAAACTTGGTCCAGTGATGATGGCCCTCTCGTGTTTCACATGTTGCAGGACATTTCGTCCAGTTGTGTATCATATGTTGCAGGACACTTGATAACATCGTATTTCACATCTTCATAGAGTCCAGTTATGTTTCACATCTTGCAGTATCAAGAACCTTGCAGAATCAAACCAGTGTCGTCAGCCTGACGAGTGTACAATACCCCATTAGGCTACACCACCGCCCAAAAACTGTTAAGAGTAGGTTTCTTTCCTGTAGTAACAAGATAACAGAATTTCTTTTGTTGATTTAGTAGCAATGTTTGCTGGACTGAGTAAACACCATTGTCAAAATTAGAAAGAGGACCAGTCCAATTGTCTTACAACTTTTCTTCATCATTTTGAATACATCAACATAACACATTGGCATCTTATATGCCTTGACATCAACAGTTCTTGGTACTATAGGACGATGTTAGACCGTTGGTGAAAATGCTGGGTGATGATCGATGGTTGGTGAAACTACTGGATGATGATCAACACTGGTGGGAACTGCTGGATGATGATTAGAAGTTGGTGGAACTGCTGTGTGAATCCACTGTGATCATCGACAGCGAAGAGAACGACTGGGTGATGATCAACAGTTTGTTGAACTGCTGGATGATGAGCGACAATGGGGGATGATTGACAGGCAGTGGAACTACTGGCTGATTATTGCCAGTGAATTTAGTTAATCGTTTGAATTCCAATCTTGTGGGGTGTGGGGTGGGCGTTTCATCGCGTTATTTTTCAACTTTAAGTTGAATTTGCATTTTTCATGATTTGTATCTGTAAGTCCATACCGAAAGGGATCAGAATCTGCAAAGTTGTGTTTTACGTTGCATGTGACCTTTAACAAAAATAATAATCAACATGAAAATTTTGTCTCTCTTTCACAGAGGGGATATCAAAGGACGTCCCTGAGTCACACCACCCCCCCACTTTTATAACCCACCGCCAGGAGCTGAATTGGCCAGATATAACACTCTCAGGGGTACCTGTAATAGAACTGTCATTTCCTATACCACAACTGAACCCGTGAAGGTCGGGTTAGAATATTGGCCTTCAGTAACCCATGCTTGTCATAAGAGGCAACTAACAGGATTGGGTGGTCAGGCTAGCTGACTTGATTGACACATGTCATCCGTTCCCAATTGCGCAGATTGATGTTCACGCTGTTGATCACTGCATTGTCTGGTCCAGACACTATTATTTACAGACCGCCACCATACAGCTGGAATATTGCTGAGTGCGGCGTAAAACTAAACTCACTCACTCACTATACTACTACTGTGGATATACACATGTGTCGAAACATTGAAAAGAAATATGTGTATATACATGAAAACTTGAGGTGTCCACGATGTAATGTGCATAGACTTAACTAGATACAGTGCCTAAGAATTAATTGGTTATCTTGAACTAGCATTTACAATAGTTGGTATTTCAAAAAGTTATTCAATATCGTAGGAATGTGTAAAACCTACCTCAAAGTTTCTAGACGATATTTACAATAGAAGTAACAACTTAGACATAAACAAGAAAATAAAGTTTAAATGTTTTTTACCTTGAAAAAAGAAAGGATAGAGCTGTGACTGTGAGTACCTTGGGTTTATTCAAGCAAGTGTGCCCGAGATAGAAAACCCCAAGATTTTATACTTCACAGCTCTACTCATCTAGTATCATTATCAAATTTATCTTAAGTTAAAGTTCCAGATGCACTATGTACCCTATGCTGACAAAGATTACAACACGAGGAAGGTGTTAAGAATGTACTTATCTAACAAACTTGAGTTTCTTTATAGTGTAGCCACAGTCAACTTGCGCCAGCTGCTAACAATACATCTGTCAGCACTTGACCATGGCAATTACGACAGGACAAAAGAGGTGGTATGACGGTAATCTCAATCTTGTTCAACAAAATTTGATTTTCGATTATTACGACCAGGGATACTCTACAACAGGGATAGGTCACTCGCTTGCTTTCTTTACCATTTGTACTAATTAACGTGTGCCTCGTCATGCTCCAACGCACACAGTGACTTGGTTCGGTCCCAGCGCAACTTCGGCTGCGTTTAACAGTACTTCAGCCAGTGTATTGTATAGGTCGGAATTTTACAATGAATGAATGAATGAATTAAGAGCAAGAATTTTATGTGAATGAATGAAAGAAATTAAGAAAAAGAACAAAAGAAAAAGAACATATGTGAATGAATGAAAGAATAAATGATACACCACGGCCATCCCTCCCCAGACATGTTAAAGAACGCAAAACTTTCGGTAGAACACATGTTAACATCAGCTGTCCTTTTTCCAAAAAAAAATTACTTTGAGACATTTTTTTACATTAACTTATTCAGATATCGTATTGCATGTGTGGAATGACATGGGCATTGACAGAATGTTAACTGACACTGTCACAGACCCCTCAAGAACAGAAAGTTTAGAACTATCACAAAGCCTTGCAAACACCTTTCCAGTTTTGTCAAATACTAAGATCAACAAGAAAGAAACAAGTTTTAGAACTATAACACTCAAGCATCACAAGCACCAATGGCGTATCAGAACAGATCGGCGATATGTCATATTTTTCACACACCTCAAATACACACTTAAAAAAAAAAAATTAAAACTATCACTATTACTTGCAAAAAACTTTCACCTGATGGTATATTCCCCTCATAAAAATTGAAGGTGTATGTGAAAGATGTTTTAGAACAATAACTAGAAACACTCAAACAACGCCCTGTAGTATTTCAATGGCAGATCGGCGATATGTCATATTTTTCACACACCTCAAATACACACTAACAATTTTTTTAAATTATAAAACTATCACTATTACTTGCAAACACCTTTCACCTGATGGCATATTCCCTCATAAAAAATTGAAGGTGTATGTGAAAGATGTTTTTGAACACTAACTAGAAACACTCAAACATATTTTTACACACCTCAAATACACACTAACAATTTTTTAAATTATAAAACTATCCTGTAGTATTTCAATGGCAGATCATAAAATTGCGATATGTCATATTTTTCACACTAGAAACCTCAAATACATTTCAATGGCAGATCGGCTAACATATTTTTTTTTAGTTATAAAATAAAATATCACTATTACTTGCAAACACCTTTTAACTAAAGGTATATTTCCTCTAAAAATCCAAAAACGAATATGCAGAAAGATAGTTTTAGCTCAAATACATATAATTTAGTCTAAAAATTCTTAGCTGTGTACTGAGAATTGAAGCCAGTGAGCTACAACATGCCCACTTGAAACTTTACTACAAAGCTACTGTACTTATACTGACACTAATAACAAGTATTTGACTTAAAATGAAGTGACAGAATGGTTAACTTATCTTCTACATGTAGGTTTTCAGTTGTCACAACACTCAGCGTATGTAATCAGCTGTTGAAAATAAACCGGGCTCAATCTTAAAAACTACGCTGCCGCCATATTGGCTGCACTGGTCACGTGACGAGCCGAGGCATAGCTTAGGAGCTGCCCGAGGAGTGACCACTCCCCCTTATAGAGTCTCCCTGTTACGACTTAGCTGGTGGTAAAACAAAGCTGGCGGTATTCTGCTGGGATGGGAATACTTGTCTGCACTTGACCAAGGGATAAACCCGCGAAGAAAGTCCAGTGTTGACACAGCTCACTAACTTTATCTTCAATTAATTAGTTAATGGTTGGCGCTGATGCTTTTCCTAATTGTCTTCTGCTGCACTTGACATGTAGGGCTATAAACAAGAAACACTGTGCACAGCGATTTGCACATACACAAATTTCCTTTGTAAAGAATAATTTGGGGAAAATATTAAAGGTAAAATGGTAATCTCAATCTTGTTCGACAAAAGTTCATTTTCAATGATGACTTACTTGCTGATAAAACATGCACTTGTTGGGATGGGAATATAAAAGTGTACGATGAAATATATGCACTGTAATGTATACATAACACTAAAACCGAACAACCAGTTGATTCCACTGCGAATCCTCTGAAGTGTTTACTGGCTAAGAGTATCTGAAAGTGCAAATGTTTTCCCACATTCAACACATTGCTAAGACAGGATTCCACTTTGACTACTTATGTGTTTCTACAGGGTGTCTACAGGTGTGCATCCTTTCCCAAACCCAACACACTGACCAGTCTTCACTGCTTGATTACACAGTGAATCCTCCTGTGTTTCTGATGTGTAAATTCTGTCCTACATTCAACACATTCATAAGGATTGATTCCACTGTGAATCATCAAGTGTTCCTGAAGAGTGCTTGAATGTGTAATTTTTTTCCCCACAGTCAACTCATTCATAAGGCTTGATTCCGCTGTGAATCCTCATGTGTCTCTGCTGACTACTTGATTGTGTAAATGTTTTTCCACATTCAACACATTTATAAGGCTTGAACCCACTGTGAATCCTCATGTGTGTCTGCAGATTGCCAGACAGTGTAAATTGTTTCCCACATACAACACATTCATAAGGCTTCATTCCACTGTGAATCCTCATGTGTGTCTGCAGATTACTTGATTGTGTAAATTGTTTCCCACATTCAACACATTCATGAGGCTTCATTCCACTGTGAATTCTCATGTGTGTCTGCAGATTAGTAGATTGTGTAAATGTTTTCCCACATTCAACACATTCATACGGTTTCATTCCACTGTGAATCCTCATGTGTGCCTTCAAATTACCAGATTGTGTACATTGTTTCCCACATTCACCACATTCATAAAGCTTGATTCCACTGTGAATCTTCATGTGTATCTGCAGACTACTTGATTGTGTAAATGTTTTCCGACATTCAACACATTCATAAGGCTTCATTTCTGTGTGAATCCTCATGTGTCTCTGAAGTTCACCTGACAGTGTAAATGTTTTCTCACACACAATGCACTGATTAGATTTGATTCCACTGTGAATCTTCATGTGTGCCTTCAGATTACTTGACTGTGTAAATTTTTTCCCACATTCAACACATTCATAAGGTTTGATTCCACTGTGAATCCTCATGTGTGCATGAAGATTGCTAGACTGTGTACATTGTTTTCCACATTCACCACATTTATAAGGCTTTATTCCACTGTGAATCCTCATGTGTCTCTCCAGACTACTTGATTCTGTAAATGTTTTCCCACATTCAACACATTCATAAGGCCTGATTCCAATGTGAATCTTCATGTGTTTCTGAAGATTACTTGAATATGAAAATGTTTTCCCACATGCAACACATTCATAAGGCTTCATTCCACTGTGAATCCTCATTTCTCTCTCTCCTTACTTGTTGATTGTACATTGAACACATCCCAAAGGCTTCATTCCACTGTGAATCCTCATGTGTGTCTGCAGACTACTTGATTGTGTACATTCTTTCCCATATTCAACATTCATAAGGCTTGATTCCACTGTAAATCCTCATGTGTACCTGCAGAGGAACAGATTGTGTAATTTTTCTCACACACAATGCACTTATGAGGTTTGATTCCACTGTGAATCTGATGTGTATCCACACAGTACCGAGTGTAAATCTCCTATTTGCAGTAAACCCCTTTAGCAGATTTAATTTGTTTCAATGACAGAGAAAGGATTCTGTGGTTTGCTTTCAACTTCCATCATTAACCTGGGGATGTTGTAGTGTTTACTGAAAACATATGAAATGTTGTCCTACTCTTACAACATCTAGGGTAGGGACAATACACAATATGATGTTATGACACGTAGCATAAGTAACCTGATACTGTAAAAATGTCTTCCCCCACACAACTTAGCGCGAAGTGATTTTCAATAATCAGTATGGAAAATGCCAAAAGCAGGATGTACAATTATCCTCTCTATAGTCTGAACCCCAATATCATCATCAGCATACCCATAGTATATAAATACTGCATTGCAATAATTCAAATATGTCTTCATATGAACATAATTACATCTATCTTGGATCAATTTAATTACATAATATTGCATAATAATATCATTTACATGGCAGATATCATAAGGAGAGACACATCCTGTCATTAAACACTTGGAGCACCTTTAGATCCAGCAACAGAACCTTTCGTGGGGAAACAAGTTTTAAACATATTTTTTTGGTTATGATCGGGTAAAAATAATACATACACAATTGGTGATGATGATTTTAATGGGGAAGTATTTACAATGATGCCCCCTAAAATTTATATGCCAAGTAAGCAACCTCCCTGCATGTCATGTACAAAATTGCTGACCTCTCCCTGGTGCATGTATACAATATTGATCACCTCCTAATTAAGGGAATTAAAATAAAGGGTATTTTCCAGTACGCCGACGATACAAACTTCACACTTGATGGATCTGAAAAGGGATTATAGGAGCGAATCTATGTTATTGAAAATCATGCTTGGAACCATACTGCTATGGTTTTATCACAGTTAAGATTTAACCCAGATACAGTATGGTTCCAAGCATGATTCTAATGAACAACTTCGCCCTCATATACCTCTCCGCTGGTCAAAAGAACCATTTAAAATTCTGGGTATACTTTTTTCAACTAAGTGAGATGAAATGATTCCACTAAACTTTGAACAGCTTTTTTCTAAAATCATGGTTGAACAGATCTCTTACTTTGAGAGGAAGGATTATGATTATCAAATCACAGATTATCCCCCTTTTTACACACCTTTTTATGGTCCTTCCCAACCTATCTAAACATTTCTTTACATGTTTGAATTCTATCCTTTTTAAGTTTATTTGGGGTGGTAAATGAGATAAGATCAAAAGGAATATGTTAATAAAGAACTATGCAAAGGGGGGGTCTGAAAATGATAGATAATAATCATATCTTTCTGCAACTATATGAAGATCAAATGGATCAAAAGACTATTCACAGCAAAAGGATTATGGCAGCACATAGCATTTGAATCACTATCGCCTTTTGGGGACATTGATCTATTTAACTTTCAAGGAGAAAAACTACTATTATACTCCAAAAACATTAAAAATTACTTCTGGAAAGATGTCTTATAGTACTGTCGGAAATAGAAAAAAACTGTTTTTAGGCTCTTACTCTGTATCCCTAAAATTTACACAACTGCAAATAGCATATGTCGAAATAACCCACTTCGGCCTAACTTGGCATTCAGTGGAATGAGTAATAGGATATCCAGAAAAGCATGTTTACTCGTAAAATCGGGCAAAACTTATAAAAAATATGAATAGCTGCTGAAAACAATAGATCAGACTATAGATGGCAATTAGGTCGCTCAGCCAGGTATGATGACGGACCATCGACTCACCTGGCATGAAATGCATGTGCTGCCTCCAGGCGCCCAAGGGGTCATCTCAAAGATATTTTGTGCTTTTTCATGTGTTGACTATGCCTCATCTATTGATTATTTTTGTTTATTGAAGTTTATGTTGAGATATGTAAAAGAGTTTGATACCTGATAACCATAGAAACGCATCATATTAAATGTCTCAAAATATATAGGTGGCATGACCACCCGATCGCGAAGATCGACAGGACTGGATATTATTTGTAAATTGTTATGACATGCCGTGTACTTCCCCAGTATAATTGCCCTAAAGGATTATCGTATCTTAGCTGATAGCTCTATCCCCAAGCCCGACCCCAACGATCGTCTGCGACACCCGTCCAGGTTTTGCTTTTGAGACGAACCCTCCTATCTGTTTCTTTTTATAGTGACAGTGAGACTCCATGGTAGCTACATCCTTAATAGTTTCAGCATGAAAGTTATTATTTTTTACGCCAGCTATCGTTTATAATGAAGCTACGTCTAATTTCAAACTGGTCACTTAAAAAGAAGCCATGGTCTGTTCCACATAATTCGTTTTGGACTTAGAAAAATATCGCATTGCTCATTCTGCACTAATCTCACCTCAGTAAAGTCCTTTTTCTACGTTTCTTGTGTCCCTACCACTGAGACTGTAGTAAGGCCGAACTTAGTTTAAGAGATATTTCACACTTGCACATATCAACTACATAAATTGTAGAGATAAATGAGAAAATACAGTTTTTTTCTATTTCCGACAGTACTATAGTATGTTCCTCTTGTATTAATAGAAACCATATTGAAAACATCAGAGACTTTATTTGTCTTCCAATTTTGAACTTTGTACCATTTGGTGACATAGGCTTGTTTGTCTCGTGGTATAAAAAAGGAATGAAAAATATGCGGGACATCATATCAATTACAGGTGATTTTAAACCTTTTGAAATACTAAAAGAAGATTTTAATCTCCATGAAACATACCTTCTCTACTTTAGATTTTTTAAATAGTACCTAAACGATGCCTTAATCTTCTTAAGGCTACACCTATTGTTGATGAATTAGTTACAAGAAACTGTACTATTCTTAAACAAATATGTAACTCGGCTGATTGTAAATTTGTTTACTCACAGCTGTGTGACAATCATGGAATATCATTAGATAATCTTCTACATAGATGGGAATCCAAGTTTAATACTACTTACTCTATCAGAGAATTATCTCACTGACTGTTTTGCAATGATAAATACTACTACTATAGAAAATAAGACTAGGAACTTCCAGTTTAAATTGATGAACAGAATAGTTTCAATGAAGTCATTTCTATGTAAAATAGGTATTAATCACAATAATCTCTGTACTTTGTGTGGCCGAGAAATAAAAACTCTTGAGTACTTATTCTTTTCATGTGAGAAAACTAAACATCTAATCTGTCAGTTTACAAGCTGGTACAATTCCAAGACTAGCGCTTGCCTCAGTATTGCTTTTACTAAGTTGCTACTGGGGGACCCTAAAGCAGGTGTATTAGTTAATCATATTTTCATTATCACCAAGGAATATATTAATAAAGTAAGATATACCTCCGCAGATTTAAATTTTGATCAACTCTTCTACCTCATAAAAAAACACTACACTTTAAATTATAGTCCTCTTGAGTGTTTTGTTCATTCCATAACCTTGTTCGTAGAATAGTTTTATCTTTAGTCAACAAATATACTGTGGGTTGGCTGAAAAGCCAGGGATGCTACCCATAAGGTTGGTATCGGAAGAAACGTTATTCTTTCTTCTTTGTTTCATGTTTTACACTCATAGAATCACTTTGTCTTCCACTCACTGTCATGTTTACAAAAGAAAACTGGGACATAACATTGTACATGGACTATGTAAAATCACAGGGAAGAAATATATAAATACTTCGCAATGGTAGATAGCGTAAGAATATTATGTTCAAACTGTCAAGGGTTAAATAATGAAAACAAAAGAATAGATGTGTTTAGAAATTTTAAAGAGGTGCATACCGTGAGATCGGATAAGTTTAAAAATATAACTTTATATTAAAAGTGTGCTTGGATTATGCATATTTGTATAAATACCACAATGAAGTAAACATTTCCTTGCATTGGGTAAGTTACTTGCTGAGTCTCAGTAACGTGACACATGTATATATTTTCTCGTGTTATATTTGCTTACCTCAGGTATCACAATCCTGTAACAAGTACTGTAAACGTACTTATTTTCGCGCATTCTTTCCCACAGAGGTTGGTGCAATTTTTCTCTGAATTGACAGTTTAGACTACATCGCACGGTCAATTATTCGCGCAATCAGTAATTGCCGGAACTGCCAGCTGTCTCTTTGGCCGCCACTAATAGCAGTGAAAACAAACAGAGTGGCTTAACCTGTCAGGCGGCGATTATTGCTTACTCACAGGAAATCCCTATCTGTGCGATATACTAGTACACAGTAATCCGTTTACTCACGGAAGAGATGAAAAACACATCAGTCTTATGTTCCGAATTCTGACAATCTGACGAACTAACTTCTACTGTATATGAAGCTCTTTGTGATTTCAAACACGCCGGGTTGTTGTGAATGAGATGATTGAGTGTTAAGTGACTATTCGCTTCATGATGTACTGGTAAATAAAATCTTAATGAATAAATAAAATACTGCTGTATTATTTCTTTCCGAGTCGTTTCATGGTAATCTGTTTTGTATCAAACCATCTGTCATGTGATCAATTTCCATGGCGGCCACAACACACATTGCTGTTTTACGCTAATTCGCGATGGGATTTGGTTCATTATTTAATTATGTTTTGGGAAATCCATCACAGCTGACAGTTAAGTATGATTCTTTATGCTACTATCAGTCGTCATTTTAAGATTCCCGTAGATTTCTGTCTTCAAACTTGATGTGTTATGGTATGAATGAATGACAGGTTTATTCAAACGCGCTAAAATGTTTTGCGCGAAAAGCGCGAAAATAAAACCTGCGCGAAATATAATACGTTTACAGTATGTGGAGCGTTGACCGCCGGTAACCTCAGGTATCACAATCAGGTTGCGAATATGAAAGTCAAAATGCTATCAACTTGTTTAAAATGCTTAAACATCTGCCATAAATGCATAGGTTTTGTCAACTTTAAAGGAGCACTGATCTAGAGCGATAAGTGTTTCTCGCCAACAGTCTAATTACGAAACCTAGCTGGATAGTACCTGCTCCCTCGACTGTGACAAACACAAGGACTGGGCTCCTGTCCACCTTGGCAGATTTCTTCAACCTAATCAGTGGGATATTAGGAAGGGTGGATGCCCATCAGCTGCCATTATATAAGAATACCCCCGATAGTTCTTGTCTGATTGTAATCATGGTAATGAAGTATCCCAGCTGTGTAGGCTTTTCAGATTTTCTTATGCCTGGATTGTATAGTGACTGATCCAATTTGATCCTATTTCTGTGTTTTTTATCTCGATACTTAATGATGTCATTTAAAAATATGATGTCTATTACCTATGATATTAAAAACACACATTTGATTTATTTGAATCTGTAAAATAAACAACCCAACTTTGCCATTGCTAGAAAAAAATGAAATTTTACTTAGCTACAAAAAACTGACAAGCAATAAAATAGGAAAATTTAAAAGGTGAGCATTTGTTTGGTCTAACAGATATACTTTGTAGTACACCCAAAATGTACTGAGCAAGTTGGCGGTATTGTCATACTGGTAGGTAACATGTAATAGATTCAGCTAGCCCTTCACCATATGCTCAAGCCCATGGTGCACAACACTAAAGTAGCAGCCTTGATGTAATGTAGCATAACACTCTTAAATAGTTCTATTTCAAGATTATATCAACAAGGTGTTAAATTGATGTAAAAGCATTACACATATACATATACACTACATTTTAGTAGCTAATTAAAGTCTTTTATACACATGATACATAAGACACCTAAACCAAACTAATGACCCTATGGGAACTACACTTGTGTTTGCTGTGAATTCCTGCACAGTTACTCTCTTTTCAAAAATGAAAGTGTATTCTCAATCTCTAAATCACAGCTGCCTAAAATGCCTCCTAGTTAGGCTGTGAACTGTTTGCACCCCTCCTCCCTCAGATGCCAAGAACCCCCTCCCTCCCCCACCCCCTTCTCTACCCATCCCCAATGTCAGTGTCTAACTGTTAACTGGTTGAACATTTTAGGAGCTATTTCCTGTAAACTGTACACTGAAAAATGTTATCCTCCTTGACATCAAAGATATTCCATGTATACGGTGAAATCACATCTACTATAAAGAAAAGTTTGATTCAGGTACAGAAAATAGCAGCATTCAACTCCAGAAGCTATGCAAGTTCCAAGAGAATGAGGTAAGTATGCACGATAAATAACAATATATTTTGTCTACCAGTTTAGCATTATAAAGTGTCATAATGTCAAGAGTTTACATGGGGAGTTTCTTCAGTGTTCAATTTCTTTTTCTCTATGAGGTGGCCCCATTGCGTATATCGATGCTCATGCTGTTGACCACTGGATTGTCTGGTCCAGATTATTGACAGACTGCTGTCATTTAGCTGGACTATTGCTGAGTATAACGGGACGAATTCTGACGCAGTCATCAGTAAAATATAATACAGAATACCGTTATTTAACCCAAAGAAATATATCCTAGCATTGTGTAATTTTAGTTACAGTTTTTGCTCTATTAATTAATTAAGATTACCGTGCATATTTGTCTCGTACACAAAGCCGGAAATAGCAATCAGCTGTGCCCACGTTTCCCGGCGAACAAGTTCAAACATGCACAATAATATAACGGGATGAATTCCATTGATTGAATACTATTATTTAACCCAAAGAAATATATCCTAGCATTGTGTAATAGTTTTTATGTAAAATATATATAATCAACACTAAGGTTATACGGACCCTCATGAACGTGGTAAGCACATGGAATAGGGTAAAATACGGAATTAAGCCATTTAAATTCACACATTTTTACCGATGTTACTGTAAACTAGCAGTCAATGGAAAACGAGGCGGTAATCAGTTCGTGATTGTTGAATGGGCAAGCCAGTTTGTTGCTACAATAAATCTGATATTTAGAGAAGCTATATTATGCATTTTCTGTCAACTACACTTCGTTTCGATACGTGAGTAGACACAATATATATGACAGTGAATTCTTTGAATAACGTGGACCAAAGTTATAATTATTGGTAACTGCCAGTTGTCTGTGGTCCGTGTTTGCCGCGATTAGGACCCCATCGCGGAAATCGACTTATGCACGAAACATACCATTTTGACACTGATTTTAAGGGTCAAGTTTGGGGGTCGTCTTATCCATAGGGTCGTCTTATAGACGGTCATATACGGTAAGTTTGGCCTGCTCCTAGATCCTTGATCCATATGATGTGTGTTTTCTAAGAAAGTTCTCAACAGTGGCAACAGGAATGGGTGAGGAGGAGTCACACAATGTTTCTACAGAGAAGTAAAGGCAGGATTTGCATCCCGTTATATACCTGTAAAGGTAACTGAATTAGTAAATGAATACATACAGTACTTAAGTGAAGATGTTTAGTTTAATATTACGCTTTTTAACTCTCTCCCACACCAGTTTGGTAAGATAAAGGTTTTGATGATACTGTTAAAACTAAAATTACTGAAATGTTTATAGACACCAAGACAAATCTCATGTCACTCACTCTGTTATACTCACTCCATCCATTGCCCTCCTCTCCACTTCATTCTGCTCCACCCACTCGGCTCACTTGACTCACTCCCCCTTCTCCACTACTCTCACTCTGTTCCACTCCATTAACTCTGCTCACTCCACCTACTTAACTCCGTTCCACTCACTCTGCTCCACTAGACTTCACTCCACTACACTCAGTTATCTTCGCTCCGCTGAAATCGCTCGCTCCTCCCACTCCACCCACCTCACTCCACGAACTCAGCTCACTTCACCCACTCAACCTCAAACCTCTCCACTCCTCTCCCTCCACACCACCCACTCCAATAACCTTACTCCTGTCCTGCTCAGCTCAACACCATTCGTCTCTGCTCCGCTCACTCCACTCCATCCACTCTGCTGTGCTCCGCTCCACTAAATACCCCTCCTCTATTCGACTCCACTCCACATTACTGCCTCCGCACAGCTCTGATCCTCTCCGCTCACTCCACATCACTCACTAACTTCGCTCCTTTCCCTCTGCTCCACTAACTTCGCTCCATTACTGTTCACTCACTCCGCTCCATCCACTCACTAGCTCTACTCAATCAATCCATTCCACTCTACTCCCTCCGCTTCATTCATTAAATTGCTTCTCGCCATTAAATTCCTCTCACATCACCATCTCAGCGATACTCTATTCATTCCTCTCCAGTCAGCTCCACCCCCTTGCACCACCCACTCGACTCAATTCCACTCAACACAGTTCCACTTCACTCCCTCTGATCCGATCCACCCACCTCATGCCACTTAACTTACTCAACCAACTCAACTCCAGGCACTCCACACCACTCTCCTCCACCAAATCCAACCTGCTCCCTCTGATCCGCTCCACCCACCTCATGCCACTTAACTTACTCAACCAACTCAACTCCAGGCACTCCACACCACTCTCCTCCACCAAATCCACCCTGCTCCCTCTGATCCGCTCCACCCACCTCATGCCACTCAACTTACTCAACCAACTCAACTCCAGGTACTCCACACCGCTCTCCTCCACCCAATCCACTTTGCTCGCTCCTCTCTTGCCATGCCTCTCCTCTCTGCTCCACCCACACCACCCACGCCAATCTCCTCTTTCCCCTCCTCTTGCATCACCCGCTCCACTCACTCACTCATTTCCCACACACCCTTTCAATCACTCACTCACACCTGCAACTGCCATTCCTATTTATTCAAAATACTTTCTATGGTTTTTAAGCATGTTGGTCAGCATTTTCTTGTGAATGTTTTGGGTGTAATTAGTTAATGGTACATTGATTGTCTTTCTGGGTATTGTTTACAGTGCAACAAGACACCACAATTTGTATGTAGCAGTGAAATAAGCATGTCATTTTCTGATTGAGAAATTCAAGAGCCTGAATTACAAGCATCTCAACAATGTAAGGTCAGATACGGAGTACATCCCAAGTGTTTGTGACTGTTGTGACTGTCATACAGAGGAGCAGAGGGGCAAGGAGGCCTATGTTAATTTCCAACCCTGTGTAAATTGAAAACTGCAAATAGAGGAATGACTGACAAAATGACTTTTAAAGTTTTGCAGATGTCATATCATCATTATATTTCAAAGCTACCATGTATGGAGTTTCATGTAAAAATAGACATACAATGAGCAGAATTTCTTTTTATTTATTCTACAGGGCTCGATATAGTGCTTTGTTACTTGCACTGGTGCAACCCAATATTACAAAGTGCAACCTAATTCTTAGTATAACTTGCACCAGGTGCAAGTCAATTTTTGAGAAAAAAAGCAAATGTAAATCTAACATTATAAGCATAATTATGTCAGCTCATTTTTCTTATCAACTTTGAATAATTCAATAGCTTATTTCTTTCATTACATATTGCAATAAAAGCAGTGCAACTGGAATTTGGCTGGTGCAACTAGGTTTTTATCTTTGGTTGCACCTGGTGCAAGTAGTTTACCATCTCTTAAATCGAGACTTGTTATATATTAGGGTTCGAAATACCCCCATATATTAGCATGCCATGGCACGGAAAATATTGAAATGGCTTGGATAAAAAAAATGTTCTCGGTGCCCTTATGGTATGCCTAATTTGTTAGAAACACAACTCATCTTTAGTCATTTAATCCCCAAAACAATACAGTTACGCAAATGAAAAGCAGGCAAAGACATTTATTGACTTTATCGCCCAGGAAATCACTTGAATTATGATGGATGATGTAAAGATATCTGGTTGTTTTACCATTTAAAGTGATGGGAACACTGATAGTTTGGTTATTGAAGAGTGAGTGAGTTTGGTTTTACGCCACTTTTAGCAATATTCCAGCAATATCACGGTGGGGGTGGGACACCAGAAATGGGCTTCACACATTGTACCCATGTGGGGATTTGGTAATTGAAGAGGAAATTGTGTATGTTAGATATATTGAACAAGTGAACCTGTCACAAAATTCTTAGTTATTAAAAGCGTTGGGAACGCAGAACAAATGAAACTTAAGAAACCCATCTTAAACAGAAGACATATCAGTGAAAACAGAAAACAGGTTACATTTGTTGTTTACAAACAATATATTTCAAAAGATCATCATCACTGCTACAGTCATATATTCTAAAAACGTGGGCACACTTGATTTCTGAAAGACTTATTTAAAATATTTGCCTCGTGCCCTAAGGCACACTTAGAAAAAAGAGTATTTCTATCCCTGTATGTCTTGTGAGAATTTACTGTAATTCCAAGATTTCCCCTGGGCTGATGAAACTAAATAACATTTCAAACTTCAAACTATTATTACTTTTATTATTATATGATATTTATATAGTATATTAGTATATTATAAAAGTAAATAGTATTTCACACTTATGAGCAAATTCTGATTGCACTGGGTCAATAGTTCTAATTTTCACAGAATTTTAACTATTATTAATAGTCACATGCCCTTCACCAGAAGTGGGATAATGCCTTTAAAACCTACAGCTTATGCAATTTCAAGATTTCCTTTGGGCTGAAGATAGTAAGTAGCATTTCACATGTGTGAGCCAATTCTGAATGTCCTGGGTCAATAGTTCAGATTTGTACCTATTAATACACTCCTATGCACTTGACCAGAAGAGGGATAATACCTCTTAAGCCTACCTACAGTTTATTCAATTTAAAGTTGTTCCCTGGGCTGATGATAAGAAATAACATTCCAATCTTGTGAGCAAATTCTGAATGAAATCAGTTAACAGAACTAAGTTTATCCCTAGACATTACTCACATGAATAAAGAGTGGGATTATGCCTTACAAATCTACAGTTGGATGTAAGGTATGAGGTAGGTGGAGTGTTAGTATACTATTAATGTATTAGTGCTTGGTATGAAGTAACCTTTTTGAGGGAAACAGTGATAGTGAATTGTGTGATGTGTGTGCTGTGCGTGATACCATTGAAGGGTGATAATTACTCCAGCTCAACAGGTTTGAGAGGGCAAACTGTTATTTCTTCTTGAAATTATCTGATAAAGTTTTTTCTCATCCTTACTTGTGTTGTGTTCTTACTTTAAATTACACACACAACAAAGTAAATATGACAGTTTCATCTCAGGAACAATATTTTATTAAAGGAACTTCAGCTGATTGGCTTTCAACACAAGGAGCAGACAACCATTTCGAGCAAATTGTGAAGGGGCTAACACTAACTACTAGATAGTCCAGCAAATATTAATGTTATTCATCAGGTTGGGGAAACCTACCAATCGACCTATAATAGGTCAAACAGGATATTATAGGCCGTTCTGCATATTTTGCTATAGGCCCGTCGGCCTATAATTATGATAGTTATCAAATATATTTGAAGTGGTGCATTTCCGCATGAGGATATTAACATTAATCAAGTTTTGATGTCCTTAGGTTTTCATTCAAACCTTTTCTGAGAATTTTCATCACATAATAAAGGCAGATCGGTAGGTTTCCCCAACCTGTTGATGAGAGAGCATGGAAAAACAAGTTCAAGCTGCTATGAAGTCCCAGTCGGAGTGAATTTCCCATTTATTTCAAGCTGACCAGGAACCTGAGGAGGGGAAATTTTTAAGGTTTGATGGAACATTAAAGAAAACTTTTTTCAATAATCTCTACGCCAATGTATTTTTCACCTGTTCCCGTACAAAAATGGCTGACCTACACTAATCCCTGGCTTCAAGTCAAAGCATATCACATGAATATACATATCTTTTTTCCTCCTAGTTAAAAGTTAGGGTCGGAAGACATACCTATGCTGCATTTACTCGCGTTCGAGTGCCACCACTATGTACTACCTCTCGGCGTCAGGGTGAAACTGAAATAGCGACGACCCCGAATTTCCGATGAGAGCGCGGCTGAAGCTATTTTCAGAAAAGACTGGTTTCCTCAGCGACCTGGTCCCCTGGCGGCTGACTCATTATATCAAAGGCAAAGTAGCGCCAGCGCAAAATACCCAGGGAACCAGGCTGACACCTCAACGGAGGCCGGGGGCCAGTCTGTTTTTATAGTGATAAGGAATGCACGTTGCCACAACACAGGGTTCAAATATAACTCATCACCAAATCAATACTATGATGTTAACCACGCACAATGTAGATTTAAAAAGTTAACATATATATTCTATATATTGTTATTGCTATGAATTTAAGCCGACTTCAACAATGTTTCTAGATCAAGTCATACCAAAACACCCAGATAAATCTTGCTATGTTCTTCTGTCATGCATTACGCCACTTTGAGCAACAGTCGAGCTCTACATTATGGTAGGCTTAACACAATACGTTTAAGGCTGTTTGGAACAGTGCTAACATAACATCACGGAATTTGATGTGGCACGTAAATGGGGGCATGTTGGTCCTATGGACGTTTACAGCTTTGGTCAAACCCACGAGTTCAGGTTTGGTGCTGACCAATCTAGACACCAGATCGAATCTATGATCCGAACCTACAGGATCCGAATACACAATCACAATTTTGTTCAAAGGCCTAACAGATGCAAATCATAAGTGAACGCCCAAGGTTCCTGCATTAAATATGCTTACGATCACAATAAATAATAGACGTCAACGCAAAATCATGCAAATGGTGTTTTTATTCTGTTCTACGTCGCATGGAGCAATATCCCAGCCCTACACCATGATTTGGTCTATCTGGACTAATGTCTGTTACAATAACAATTGTTTGTTTTCAAACAGTTCTGATGAACTACCACGGTCAAGGTCGGCCTTCTTGCTGTACAGTTGGACGCATTAAAGCAAAGTATGTTACAGAATTGTTAATGTCATCATTTTCAGTAATGCCCTAATTCATGTAATGTTAAAAGTTTCACAAGGGGGATCCTGTCATCAGGTACGGGAGACAACTTCATTGATTATTGGATACTGCGTGACCTCTGGTCGCAGTGTGCTCGTCCATATTATATTCTCCCTGATAAAACAGCTGAGACGGATAAGACTGGGGCGGTGGGGTAGCCTTGTGGTTAAAGTGTTTGCTCGTCACGCTGAAAACCCGTGTTCCAATCCTCACATGGATACAGTGTGTGAAGCCCATTTCTGGTGTCCCCAGCCGTGACATTGCTGGAATATTGCTAAAAACTGAGTAAGACTAAATAACTCACTAACTAATGTCAGCTTGATAAGGGAGGAAATCAAGTGACGCAGGTACTCGACAGGTACAACTCAGGTGAAACAGACGCGTAATACAACTACTACTATATTTACGGGATGTAAATATAACAAATGTATCTGTAGGTTCCACAAACGCAGGACGTTGTTCCACTTCTTTATTCAGGCCCATTACAGTTACAACTCATATTTACAATGCAAAACCGTGTAAATTACGCTGTAATACCAATGCAAAACCGTGTAGCCCTATGCCTGAACAACGCTAGCATGGTTTCTGCTTCGGCCGACCTCTCTCTCACCACTGCCCGTGCCTCGCATCGCCTCCTCTCGCTGTCACATGACTGTCACATGACCCATACTCTTGTTTCTAATTATAGCTTACTGCTGTCAGTGTCAAACAGATGCTATAACTGGCACTTGCAGTATCAATCCTGTAGATAAGGAGGTCACAACAGATGAAACCTAAAACAAGAACACTTAACGCCAGTTGTTCATTTTACACGCCAGTGGACATAATGTTGCGAACCTGGACATGCCTGGGCATCAACAGTTGGTGGATCTACAGGGCGATGATCAGCGGTTGGTGGAACTGCTGGATGATAATTCCCAGTTGGTGGAGTTACTGGGTGATGATCAATAGCTATTGGAACTGCTGTGTGATGATCGACGGTTGGTGGAACTGCTGTGTCCAGCGTCGATCATCAGCCAGTAGTTCTGCCCACTCTTGATAATCACCTACTAGTTCTTCCAACAGGCGATAATCAACCATCAGTACTAGTTCCGCCGACGGTCGATCATCACCCAACCGACGATCATCACCCACTGTTCATCACCATCCTGTAGTACACACACATATTCTCTCTCTCTCTCTCTCTCTCTCTCTCTCTCTCTCTCTCTCTCTCTCTCTCTCTCTCTCTCTCTCTCTCTCTCTCTCTCTCTCTCTCTCTCTCTCTCTCTCTCTCTCTCTCTCTCTCTCTCTCTCTCTCTCTCACACACACACACACACAGAGTCAAGCAACGCCAAGTCGATTCACCAACCATTGATCATTACCCAGTTCTTCCCACACACCCCTGTCGATCATCACCCATTAGTTCCCACCAGTATCGATCATCACCCAGCAGTTTCACCAACTGTCAGTCATCACCAAGTAATCCCCCCCACACACACACACACACTGTCAATCAACACCAGTTACCCCCACTGTCGATCATCACTCAGTACTTGTTCAAATTATCATGAAAATGAAAAACGTAGATGAAAATACGCCCTCTCTGTGCACTCATTTTACCCATTTTCCTCAATGTAGAATTTATGAGACGATATTAGATTGTATATATACGCAAGTTAAGTCATTTGTCACATATGTCATTTATTACACACACGTCATTTGTCACACGTCATATCCGTTTTAATCCATGGTGAGTCCTTGAAAATACACTAAGCACTGTAGAAGAAGAAAGGTAACAGGACATTCGACTGTGATCGAAACCCTTGACTGACAAGTTTGAACCCATGCTGACCAAGGTGTAATCCTAATCAAACATTAACCAAAAATAGCTCATTCTGACATATGGCGTATTTGGGTCCACCTAAGTTCTGTATACTGGCTGAGTCCTCAGTGTGACATACTCCAGTTGGCAGTCTTGAAGTGATGTCATGAAAAGTTAGTTTAACCGATTCAGTCAGGAATCAGTGCATTTTTATGATTACTATTATTATTATTAATCTGGTGTAGACAGTAAACTCTTGCTCTGACATGTGTAAGGGAAATTTAACCTTTGATTAAATACTTAAGAATAAATAAAGCACCCGTGGTAATGACTGTGCATCACATTAGATGTTATATTCATACCACAGGCAATAGTAGCGTTAGGGGAAAGGCCGGGGTTCGATTTCCCCACATGGATACGATGTTACTGGCACATTTCTGGTGTCCAACGCCATGATATAGCTGGAATATTGCCAAAAGTGATGTAAAACAAAACAAACAGTGAGATAGGATGAGATTTTAAAATTTGCAAATTATTTCCCACATTCATCCAGCTTGATTTCAATTGTGAATTCTCATGTGTGCCCGCATATGACCTGATCGTGTAAACTTTTTCCCACATTCAACACATTCATAAGGCTTGATTCCTGTGTGAATCCTCATGTGTCTCTGCAGACTACTTGAATGTGTGAACTTATTCTCACATACAACACATTCATAAGGCTTGATTCCACTGTGAATCCTCATGTGTGTCTGCAGATTACATGATAGTGTAAATGTTTTCTCACACACAATGCACTGATGAGGTTTGATTCCACTGTGAATCCTTATGTGTGCCTGCAGACAACCTGATTGTGTAAATCTTTTCCCACATTCACCACATTCATAAGGCTTGATTCCTGTGTGAATCCTCATGTGTTCCTGCACAGCACCTGAGTGAGTAAATGTTTTCGCACACACAATGCACTGATGAGGTTTGATTCCACTGTGAGTCCTCATGTGTTTCTGCAGATTACCTGATTGTGTAAATCTTTTCCCACATTCAACACATTCATAAGGCTTAATTCCACTGTGAATTCTCATGTGTGCCTGCAGACTATTAGAATGTGTGAACTTTTTCCCACATTCAACACATTCATCAGGCTTGATTCCTGTGTGAATCCTCATGTGTCTCTCCAGAGTACCTGATTGTGTAAATGTTTTCTCACACACAATGCACTGATGAGGTTTGATTCCACTGTGAATCCCCATGTGTGTCTGCAAACTACTTGCCTGTGTAAATCTTTTCCCACATTCAACACATTCATAAGGCTTTATTCCACTGTGAATCTCCATGTGTTTCTGAAGAATACTTGAATGTGTAAATGTTTTCTCACACACAATGCACTGATGAGGTTTGATTCCACTGTGAGTCCTCATGTGTCTCTGCAGATGACCTGAGTGTGTAAATTCTTTCCCACATTCAACACATTCATAAGGCTTAATTCCACTATGAATTCTCATGTGTGCCTGCAGACTATTTGAACGTGTGAACTTTTTCCCACATTCAGCACATTCATAAGACTTCATTCTACTGCGACAGAACATTGGTCTTATCAAGTCACCTGATTTAGAAGATTTCCCCTGGCTTTCACAACATGTATGAGACTGTTTTGTTGGTTGTTGATGATTCTCCAAACCATTTGGAAACTATTTCCAGGGTTCCAATAACAGGTTGTTTCCAGGGTTCCAGGTTCTTTCATGAGATCACCTATTTCCAGGGTTCCAATGATGGGTTCTTTCATGAGATCACCTATTGCCAGGGTTCCAATGATGGGTTCTTTCATGGGATGACCAGTTTCCAGGGTTCAAATAACAGGTTCTTTCTTGAGGTCACCTATTTCCAAGGTGTCTGTAAAAATGTTCCTTGAGATCTCCTGTTTTCAGCAAACCCCTTCAACAGATTCCATTTGTTTCAGTGACAGGGAAAGGATTCTGTGGATTGCTTTCAACTTCCATCATTGCCCTCTGGATGTTATGGTGTTTACTGAAAACATAATAAACGTGGTCACTCTCTTGTAACAACTAGGTTAGGGACCATACACAATATGATGACATGACAAGTAGCATGATAACAAACCTGATACTTTAAAATTGTCTTCCCACACACAGCACACTTGAGTGATTTTCAAATGTTCAGTATGGAAAATGCCAGTGAGGTGAGGTATGATTATCCTGTCTATAGTCACACAATGAATTGTATTCAGCTGTTTAATATCCAAACTTTTTCTGGCGTTACATATTTACAGGCTATGACTAGTTCATTATTCTTTCAAAACAAAACGAAAAAACAAATGGATGTCTTGCAAAGCGGTGTACATGTGATACACACCATTCTGTAAAATTGGTTAAAAGCAATAAATATATATAGAGAATCTCACCCATGTGTCTTCTGATATCAATTATATCAACACAAGTTGATAAAGTTACAAATATCCGAGGCTTGCCGAGGATATTTTTACCTTTATCAACGAGTGTTGATATATTTGATATCAGAAGACACGAGGGTGAAATTCTATTTATCATCCAAAATCACTCTTCATTAATTTTCAATGAAAAATGTACATCTCTGAACATGGTACTGTATACTATACATTTGCACCCTTCAAAATAATCCTAAAAATAACAAATTGACAGAAGATGCGAATAACATTTCTCTGTTTACATTTCACAAGGGGGATCCTGTCATCAGGTACGGGAGACAACTTCATTGATTATTGGATACTGCGTGACCTCTGGTCGCAGTGTGCTCGTCCACATTATATTTTCCGTGATGAAACAGCTGAGACGGATAAAACTGGGGCGGTGGGGTAGTCTTGTGGTTAAAGTGTTTGCTCATCAAGCTGAAAACCCGTGTTCCAATCCCCACATGGATACAGTGTGTGAAGCCCATTTCTGGTGTCCCCAGCCGTGACATTGCTGGAATATTGCTAAAAACTGAGTAAGACTAAACTAACTCACTCACTCACTGAAAAGTACGGCTGCGCAATATAACTGGTTTACTGGTATATACCGGTTCAGCCATGAAAACGATGCGTATTGCGATACGCTGATCGAAAACCGGTATTTTGACATGCATTCGGAAAACTTCGTAACACTCAGAAATCTTCCGATATTTCCGGTTTTTAAATTCGTTCTTTCCTTGTTTGATTTGGGCCAAACATTACTTATATTTTTATTTTGTCATGATTAAAAGGTTTTGTTAAAGCCTAATCAAGCATTGTGTTTCTGTTGTGTTTTTGCGTTATAAATCAAGCATTAACTCGATTATATGTAGATTTGTTGAAAAAACGTTCTTGCAATATATTGCAATGCATATCGCAATACATGCTTTCGCATCGCAATATATCGCAATATGAAAATTCCCTGCAATACCCACCGCTACTGAAAAGGCATGTCATAGTTTACAAACAGCCCGGAACAGATGAACACATGTTTATTTCACACACGAGTGTACATGATGCTACGAACCTTGGTCTGCTTTTGACCAATGAGTATAGCGCCTTCTAGTGTTTTTACTGCATAACTTGTAGTTTTGTGTTGATTTTTGCTGCTTGAGAAACATTGCTTTGAATAATATTGTAGAAATACTAGGTATGTCAGCTTGATGAGGGGGAAATCACGCGACGCAGGTACTCGACAGGTACAACTCAGGTGAAACAGACGCGCAATACAACTACTACTATATTTACGTGATGTAAATATAACAAATGTATCAATCCTGTAGATAAGGAGGTCACAACAGATGAAACCTAAAACAAGAACACTTCACGCCAGTTGTTCATTTCACACACAAGTGGACATGTTGTTGGATAGGTGTAGGCCTGATCTTCCACACGATGCTCAATAACTCCTCCCCCTTGTAACTTGACCGATCCATCATTAACTACCTTGCCACGTTTCAGATGAAGAGTATTACATTTGTCGAGTCCAAATGTCATGCCAATATCATTAGAAAAGGACTCGACAAGGAGAACCCGGTCTTTCAAATTGGAATCTCCTTTGGCAAGGAGCTCGATGTCATCCATGTAAAGGAGATGAGTAAGCGGTGTTGGGGATAGTTGCTGAGGAGGTCCGGGATGGTAACCCTCCTCTCTGTTGAGCAGAAAGCTCAAAGGATTTAGAGACAAACAAAAAAAGCAAAGGACTAAAGGAGTCCCCCTGGAAAATTCCCCTTCTGATGGGAATAGATTCCGAAGTCTGCCCCTGCCCTTGCGAGTACATCTTTATGATTATTATTATTATGTTTTACAGATTAAAGATAATATGCAGCAGAGAGGGTTCGGGTGATCCTGGCACAGTCAGGCTGGTAAGGCTCATCATCAGCTCAGGGCCCTTGCCCCCTCTACACGCAGCCCAGACAGCGAATGGGACTTCTCCCAGGAAACGCTGCCTAGTCGAACCCACCAAGAACTTTCCGGAGAATATGAAGGCTCCCCAACACTGCAGCCTTCTGCATTACCCAGAGTGTCAGAAGAGCTGTACTCCCGGTGGAGAACCCCGGGCACTCTCCTGATCTGTGCCAAAAGATCAGGAGGTACCAAACCAAGGGCACCGAGAACAATGGGGAGCCTGACGACAGTGTACTTGGGATGCAAGCGAGACATTTCAAAGGCGAGGTCCGCATATTTATCATGCTTTTCCTTGATCTTGTCAATCACATTCCTGTCAAAAGGGACAGAAAATTCAATGATGTATATAAATTCGTTGGCTTTATCAAAAAGGACAAGATCAGGTTTGTTGGCAGGAATTCTTCTGAGGCTGTATATGGGCCTATTCCACAGAAGTTTGAAAGCATCATTTTCCATGACGCCCTGGACATGTTCAGGGTCGTACCATGGATGGACCTCGTAGTCAAAGCCACAGGCATGTCGGAGACGGTAGTAAAAGCAGCGAGCCATGCCATCATGTCGTTTAAGATATGCTGTTTGTGCCAAGGAAGGGCATCCACTGACAAGGTGTTGGACAGTCTCTGTGAATTCATTGCAAAGTCGACATTTCATGTTAATATTCTCTTTAAGAATCACATTTAGGCGATTACGAGTGGGAAGTGACTGGTCCTGAGCAGCAAAAAGGAAGCCCTCAGTTTCACATTTAAGACCAGCCGACTTCATCCAGGCGAAGGAGTCAGAGGGATTGCTATTCTGTTCAACACACTGCATGTACACACGATGCAGTGGCTTCTCAGAAAGCTTATCCACAAAAGACCGACTCTGGGCAGACTTGGTGAAGGACTTTACCTGGTTTACTCCCATCGCTGTACCGTCCAGCAGTACATCGCCATCAGCAAAGTCAACCTCAAATTTGAGATTCTGTCCAACAACCTTGGCACGCTTAAAATAGCTGTGGAATTCCTTGCTTTCATCATGAGTCTTCACATGCATCACCAGAGGATCATCCGATAAATAAATATGTGCAAAAGTACACAATATAATTCTGTCATGAAGAGCCTCCACATTAATCAAACCCCGACCTCCAGAATTGATTGGCATATATACACGGTTAATTATTATTATGTTTTACAGATTGAAGATAATATGCAGCAGAGAGGGTTCGGGTGATCCTGGCACTTTATTATTATTATTATTATTATTATTATTATTATTATTATTATTATTATTATTATTATTATCATTAATCAGGTGTAGACAGTATATTCTTGCTCTGGCATGTGTAAGGGAAATATAACCTTTGATTAAATACTTAAGAATAAATAAAGCACCCGTGGTAATGACTGTGCATCTCATTAGATGTTATATTCATACCACAGGCAATAGTAGCGTTAGGGGAAAGACCGGGGTTCGATTTCCCCACATGGATACGATGTTACTGGCACATTTCTGGTGTCCAACGCCATGATAGAGCTGGAATATTGCCAAAAATGATGTAAAACAAAACAAACAGTGAGACAGGATGAGATTTTAAAATTTGCAAATTATTTCCCACATTCATCCAGCTTGATTTCAATTGTGAATCCTCATGTGTGCCCGCATATGACCTGATCGTGTAAACTTTTTGTAAACATTCATTTTTGATTCCTGTGTGAATCCTCATTCAGCACACTACTTGAATGTGTGAACTTTTCCCACATTCAGCGCATTCATAAGGCTTGATTCCTGTGTGAATCCTCATGTGTGTCTGCAGATTACATGATAGTGTAAATGTTTTCTCACACACAATGCACTGATGAGGTTTGATTCCACTGTGAGTCCTTATGTGTGCCTGCAGACAACCTGATTGTGTAAATCTTTTCCCACATTCAACACATCCATAAGGCTTGATTCCTGTGTGAATCCTCATGTGTTCCTGCACAGCACCTGAGTGAGTAAATGTTTTCGCACACACAATGCACTGATGAGATTTGATTCCACTGTGAGTCCCCATGTGTTTCTGCAGATTACTTGATTGTGTAAATCTTTTCCCACATTCAACACATTCATAAGGCTTAATTCCACTGTGAATTCTCATGTGTGCCTGCAGACTATTAGAATGTGTGAACTTTTTCCCACATTCAACACATTCATCAGGCTTGATTCCTGTGTGAATCCTCATGTGTCTCTCCAAAGTACCTGATTGTGTAAATGTTTTCTCACACACAATGCACTGATGAGGTTTGATTCCACTGTGAATCCTTATGTGTGCCTGCAAACTACCTGACTGTGTAAATCTTTTCCCACATTCAACACATTCATAAGGCTTCATTCCACTGTGAATCTTCATGTGTTTCCGAAGATAACCTGAATGTGCAAATGTTTTCTCACACACAATGCACTGATGAGGTTTGAATCCACTGTGAGTCCCCATGTGTCTCTGCAGATGACCTGATTGTGTAAATTCTTTCCCACATTCAACACATTCATAAGGCTTAATTCCACTATGAATTCTCATGTGTACCGGCAGACTAGAACGTGTGAACTTTTTCCCACATTCAGCACATTCATAAGACTTCATTCTACTGCGACAGAACATTGGTCTTATCAAGTCACCTGGTTTAGAAGATTTCCCCTGGCTTTCACAACATGTATGATACTGTTTTGTTGGTTTTTGATGATTCTCCAAACCATTTGGAAATTATTTCCAGGGTTCCAATAACAGGTTCTTTCTTGAGATCACCTATTTCCAGGGTTCCAATGATAGGTTCTATCTTGAGATCACCTATTTCCAGGGTTCCAATGATAGGTTCTATCTTGAGGTCACCTATTTCCAAGGTGTCTGTAAAAATGTTTCTTGAGATCTACTGTTTCCAGCAAACCCCTTTAAACGATTTCATTTATTTCAGTGACAGGGAAACGATTCTGTGGATTGCTTTCAACTTCCATCATTGTCCTCTGGATGTTATGGTGTTCACTGAAAACATAAGAAACGTTGTCACTCTCTTATAACAACTAGGTTAGGGATCATACACAATATGATTGCATAACAAGTAGCATGATAACAAACCTGATACTTTAAAATTGTCTTCCCACACACAGCACACTTGAGTGATTTTCAAATGTTCAGTATGGAAAATGCCAGTGAGGTGAGGTATGATTATCCTGTCTATAGTCACACAATGAATTGTATTCAGCTGTTTAATATCCAAACTTTTTCTGGCGTTACATATTTACAGGCTATGACTAGTTCATTATTCTTTCAAAACAAAACGAAAAACAAATGGATGTCTTGCAAAGCGGTGTACATGTGATACACACCATTATGTAAAATTGGTTAAAAGCAATAAATATAGAGAGAGAATCTCACCCAAGTGTCTTCTGATATCAATTATATCAACACAAGTTGATAAAGATACAAATATCCGAGGCTTGCCGAGGATATTTTTACCTTTATCAACGAGTGTTGATATATTTGATATCAGAAGACACGAGGGTGAAATTCTATTTATCATCCAAAATCACTCTTCATTAATTTTCAATGAAAAATGTACATCTCTGAACATGGTTCTATATACTATACATTTGCACCCTTCAAAATAATCCTAAAAATAACAAATTGACAGAAGATGCGAATAACATTTCTCTGTTTACATTTCCCTTATCTAATAAGTTTCACTTCCGTCCTTCCAATGTTCAGTGACACGCGGCTGGTATAACATAGGGGGGAAGCTTTGGTCAGAGAAGCGCATATAGTCATGATCGTGAAGAAAGCGAACGGTAACATAATCAGGCCTACCATACAAACGGTGAACAAATCATCAAAACTGAACTCATATACACCAAAACAGAACAAAAATCACCAAAACTGCAACCGTATCCTCTAAAACCGAAACAAAACATCTGTAATGGAAGACTAATCGTTTGAAATGGAAACAAAACTCGCGTATCAGCTACAAGAGCGCGCGAGAACGGTCGCCGAGCGTACAAAACAGCATTCATGGCATCCCAACACGGCAGTCATAGTATCCCGAAACGGCATACAAATCGTCAAAGATGGCGGCGAGGGGAGACCAATAGGCTTTGGTACATAATGTTTTTCGTCACTATGAGTCTAATCTTGAAAATTTGATATCGGGATGTAGTGCATGAACCCCCTATTGTAGTAAGCTTCAAACCTTTGTCCATACTTCTTAGTGTCAGGCTTGCAATTCTACACAATGTGGTCCCTCGTTCGACCGAATAGGATTTCTTGTCAACATGCCGTGGTCCTGTTTCTCTTCAGTTTTGTAAATAAAGTGTTCATAGCGTCACATTCAACATTACTATATTTTAGTGATTTAAAAAGTTTACAAAAACTTTGTTCATTTTCCCTGAATTGCTGTGCAGCGAGGGCACACACTGCAAATTGCAATAAGCAGAGTGATGCTTGGCTGCTTAGAATATTGAGAGGTTGAAAGTGCTGCGCAGCGAGGGCACACACGGCAATTTGCAATAAGTAGAGTAAAGCTGGGCTGCTTATTTACAAAGCGAGGCTGAAAACGTGCAGCGGTTGCACGAGCAAAACACTGCACTAGTGAGGTTGAGTGCAAACGACGACTTTGGGACCGGTCGAGGAAGGGCTATGCCACCAACGCCAACTGGTCGAGGGAGAGGGTCGCAGGTACAGAGGAAGGCAGAATGACGACACCAGATCGAAGGAACCATAGGTGGGACGGTCCGTAGGGGAGACCAGGGTAAATTGTAACACGGGTCAATTGTAACGAGGGCGATTACTCTAAATTGTTTCGCTCAAGCATAGTGTAAAGTGAGTAGAGTTATTTCCCTTTACTTTCCTGCGGTACTCATCCAGGCGTTTTTCATCTGCTCGCTTATGGCAAGATACAATTGACGAAAAATCGTTTTTCACATAACGTATTAAACCGTTCTTAATGCAGTAAATGGTGTTTGGTATGAAATTAACTTTTCAAGTGTAAAATTTAGATATTGCGACATATTTGGAAGTAGAAATATTTGAGAAGCCCAAGGTTGTTAACGTGTGACGTGGCATGAAATATGGCTACTGCCATTAGGGGCAATTGTAACACTGAGTTACAATTGCCCCCATGTAATTTTTCCTTGTGTTATGATAATAAAGCAAATTATGATGAAGGTTTTATGTTAGTTCTTTACTAGGTTTATCATAGTAGAACATTTTCAGTTTTATGTTGACAGCATTAGCCTCGGGTGAAAGTTTTTGGTGTAAGTCTTTGTATTATTTTTTGGCCATACCAATACATGAATTTTAAACGATAAACATTTTAAATGTCGATGGTGACAGAGGTTTAATGTTAATCCATTTCCACCTCAACTGATCAAGATAACATCTTTACACATTTTAGTTTGATTTTATTTGGAAAATAAACAAATTGTTACATTTGAACATTCTTTGTTACAATTGCCCCATCCACCTGTTACAATTGCCCCGTGCTAGCGGTCAATTGTAACACTTGTAGTCATTGCATTTGATACGTAATAACTTTGTAAAGACATGATAGTGAACTTGAAACGACACTGAGGTTTAAAGTCAAGAAGCCAATGTACTAGTTAGTACCGATTAACTTTGTGAGCGGTCGTCTGGGATCGAACTACAAGAAGTTAAGTAAAAAGTGTTACAATTGGTCCCGGTCTCCCCTACAGAACAGTGAGCCACCAGGGAAACAACAGGCGGAACTCTTATGTGACAGTGATCCAATAGGAAAGTGACAGACTGTGTTGTGTGACATTTAGACTAACTTATAGTGCACATTCCACGGGATCGAATCTGCTTTAGGTAAGCCAATTCTATTATTACTTATGCTGAACACTTTGTAAAAGAGCGAGATCCTTGAGAGAATCATGCCTCTAACACCCAGCAGCAGGAATCCAATCTCTTTACGCCCTGTCAATCAGCAATGTTTATCCCCTGTAGCTACATCCTCCAGCTGGTCTACATTATTTGCTTCCCCACTCCCAAGTAGTAAGACCGTTCCATCTGACTCAGAGAGCCCTATAGTCTGTCTCACAGTCCCTGAACCACATTATTGTCCCTACTGCCAAGCTCTCTCTGCAGTGATAAAGCCCTAAATAAAGCAAGTCTAGATTTCCTCAGGTTCAGGGTCTGTTAACATCTGCAAGAAAACTAACTCACTTTGGGGGTTGGATTACAAAGTAAACATATCTAACTGCCATGGCTGGCCGGACCAACATCCTCAGCAATGGTCTGGAATCTTGCCTCACATTTTCATCTGTCAAGAATCTCTGGTCTCCCTAGGGCTCCTTTTCAACATAAATGGGCTTGTTTGTTACTATCAAAATTATATATATTCAGAGACTAAGCCTTAGTCTAAGTCCGTCCCGTCAGTGAACCCGGCTCAGTCATTCACCAGAGCTGTCTCATTATCTGCCGTGCCAATGAGTCATTTTGACGGTAAGGACCCCCTCTCCGCAGAGGGTTGGTTAAAAAGATTTGAACGTTATTCTAAAGTACATGGCTATACAGATGAGGAAAAGAAAGAACTCTTCCCATTATATCTGTCCTCACAGGCGTCACACTGGTTTGACGGGACCTTGGCTAAGGATCAGTGTTCCTGGCCAAGCTTAAAAAAACCCTTCTTGCAGCGCTATGCCTAGTCTGTCTCACAGTCCCTGAACCACATTAATTTCTCTACCGCCAAGCCCTCTCTGCAGTGCTAAAGCCCTAAATAAAGCAAGTCTAGATTTCCTCAGGTTCAGGCTGAATCTCTGGTCTCCCTAGGGCTCCTTTTCAATATAAATGGGCTTGTTTGTTACTATCAAAATTATATATATTCAGAGACTAAGCCTTAGTCTACGCTATGCCCCAAATTCCATTGTTATGTTTAAAAGGGCTAATGACCTCATAGACAGGAAACAAAAACCGTCTGAACCATTCGCTGACTTTTTACAGGCGGTCAGACGTCAAGCAGCCTTAATCGGCCGAAACAATGATGATTTCGTCAGGGATTTCGTTCCTAGAAACGCATGCCAAAATGTAAAACGTTTTGTACTCACTATGCCACACGCTCCTCTCTCCTAGGTCATACAGAGTGCAGAAATTGCCGATGCTGCTGGGTCCCCTGAGGACGAATCCAAAGTAATGCAGGCCATTCATTTATTGAACGAACAGGTGGATGAACTAACAACTCATGCTAGGCAACCTCCACAACCAGTAAACGTTGTTGATTTAAGTCAGTACTTACACACTCCGACACAGCAGAACACCCACATGCTCCCGGAGCCACCGACTTCAAATCCACAGCCAACCATCCACAGTTCATGCCTACACACACATCGCAAATACCCTATAGCTCCCAGAACAACAACCACTACACTGGGAGAAGTACAAATAGTCGTAATGTCCGTTTTGCCCAACAGGGAAACTATACCGATAGACCGGGGAATTCTTATTGCCTTCGAAATACAGCGCAGGACAGACGCCCGTTCACGTGTAAGGGTTGTGGTATGCTTCACTCCCATCCCCGCGAATGTAGAGCCAGGCTGATTACTGGTTATCGGTGCCATCAACAAGGTCATATAGCTCGATGTAGTCAGACCCACCAACCGTCCGCATCACTACAAATAGACGGGGACACTAACCCCCGTTACGGTTTCGACAAGTGTAGATTGCCCACCGACCCCAGATTCTCCCCTTTTCTCCCCTCCCCCGCCAACAGACCTGTCACTCAGCCACCAAACCTCAGGGCGAACCATAGACTAAGGATTAGTCTCTGAATATATATAATTTTGATAGTTACAAACAAGCCCATTCATATTGAAAAGGAGCCCTAGGGAGACCAGAGAACCTGAAGAAATCTAGACTTTCTTTATTTAGGGCTTTAGCACTGCAGAGAAGGCTTGGCAGTAGGGAAAATAATGTGGTTCAGGGACTGTGAGACAGACTAGGCGAACCATTACGAAGACACTAGGCACCCCTCCTCTGGGGGTGGAACTTGGCCAGGAAAGGTTACAGTCAGGGAAGGGAAACCGCGCTTCCCCTGATCCCCCTCCACAGACAGACAACACCCCCAGTGCTTTACTTAACCAAAACTACACTACTGCTAGCAATACTACAGCTGGGTCAGAGGTCAATCATGTTATTGAACCGCGGGGTTCCCCTCCCAAGATAGAGGTGCGCTGTCCCCCTTCCCCACCGATAGTGGTTCCATCGCTTCACACCATCAACAGTGCACACTTGGCAAACAGCATGATACCAATAAACATTAAGGCCCAGGAGTTTCGCGCGTTGTTGGACACAGGCGCATTCACATCGTGTCTTTACTCACAACGCTACAAACAAGTAGGGAGTCAGGGATCATTCCCACTACAGTCAGCTCCACAGGTTCGACTAACTGGGGCAGACGGAGCCACTCTCACGGTCATAGGAATAGTCACATTACCTGTCATAGTAGCTCACTTGAAATTATCTCATCTCATCTCGTCATCTTGGGGTTAGACTTTTTAACAGACCATGCCGCCTCGATCGACTTCACTAAACGACAATTAGTGTTAAAGCAGGGTCTCACGGCTACAACTAGCTTAACAACTAGTCTCTGAAATGAACATATTTTACTGAAAAAAGTTCATAGTGAAAAAAGAGACTTTCTTCATTTTCAGAAAGCTGAGGAAATCTAGACTTGCCACTTCTTCTAGACTTGTGTGGGCTTTCTTGGATATATTTGCTTCAGGGTCTGTACGACAGACTAGGCTACACTATTCTTCACACCATATCCAACCACACTTGCTCGAACACCACACTCACTGTCACTGAAGGGGTCGGCACAGGTACTACAGATACGTACCCCAGGTACGTTTCTGTATACAGATATGTACCCTAAACAAAGTCAAAATACAGAAACGTACCCGGTACCCTAAAAGGCGGACGAGTCCATATTCCGCAATCCAAACCCGAAACCGTATGTAGTTGTTCCTGATTGCGAGCGGTATTCATTAGACTAAGGCTTAGTCTCTGAATATATATAACTTTGATAGTAACAAACAAGCCCATTTATATTGAAAAGGAGCCCTAGGGAGACCAGAGATTCAGAACCTGGGGAAATCTAGACTTGCTTCGTTTAGGGCTTTAGCACTACAGGGAAGGCTAGGCTGTAGGGAAAATAATGTGGTTCAGGGACTGTGAGACAGACTAGGTATTCATATGCATCGCGAAATATCCGTTACTGTGTATTCTCATTACTTCCATAACGCAATCAAATGTATCTAATACAACAACATGACAGTTCCGATCAAGAATGGGAATGGAATCGACCTAGGGTACGTTTCTGTATTCTCATTATGGCCAGGGTACGTTTCTGCGGTACATATCTGTAGTACCCGTGCCGACAACGACCCCTGCAGCCTCACTATCCATCCCTCCACGCGCGGAAGCTTGTTTCTCGGTACTACTTGACTCTGACACAACTGGACTCACAGGGGTCTATATTCTATATTCAGTCATAGGTGGTCATTGCTTGGTATGGGTTGACAACAGTTCTGCACCATTCTAAGTTCTCAATCCCACTGACACCCCCGTACATATTACAAAAGGGACTGAGATCGCACTTTTTGAAACACTACAGGATGATTTTGATATGGGAATGCAAATATCTGATGGAAACTCGGGACCGCTAACAAACGGACCCAACATCGAGGTGCCGGCCATAACCAATGACCACCAACCCCGTGTCGCTGATATTGGCTTGTCACCAACCCCTGACACAACTTTAGACATGTCTACTGTGTCCAACCATGTCACACCTTCTATCTACACACTGTCACACCTGCGCTCATCCCCACCGAGCCGAGTCCAATCCAGGCGACAGCCGCACGGAATGACCCGTCGCCCAGAACAAGTCCTAAAGAACCACTAAACTTTGTTTTTTGTTACTCTTTTAACCATTACATATGAAAGATTTGTGGTTAGTCTTATGCGGAACACCAAATTTATTCTTTAAAAACTTGTGGTTAATTAATACCGAGCGATTAAAAGTGGCCAAAAAAGTCGCCTGCCTCCCTCTCGCCCGCCAACGAAACCACAGACAGGTTACGTAACTCTGTCGCCAGAGCACTGCAGTGACGTCATATGAGGAACGATTTTCTGTTACAGTCAAATCCCAATGAGTCGAATGTCGGTGTCTCGAATATTATGCATAACTCGAAGTATCTGTCAGTCCCGACCATTCCCTGTTATAGTTGTCATTATTTGAATATCGGTTACACGAATTCGTTTCATAAATACACACGATGACTCAAGAAGAAAATTTGGTCCTATGAGATTCAAACAACAGCAATCTTGTATACATAAGCCGAAGTCAGTCAATGAGAAGTTGATTGGTGTAGCAAACTGATCCATTTAACAAACCATCGCGGCTCACACCTTTCCGCCTTTGCCGGGTGAGTTCACAAGGCAGATTAGTGATTTTACGGAAATCACTGTCTGTGCTAATCAGACTGGAACTGATAAGGTGCCCCTATTAGTGATAGGGAAATCATTAGATAAACAAATACTTAGGCGGAGGAATTTGGACTGGATCATCTTTTTTTCCTACCCTCATAGACATACCTATGTCTCGAATACATCGATTAGTCGAATTTATTACTTGGTCCCAAGAGATTCGACTCATCGGGATTTGACTGTAGTTGTATAGAAAATGTGTAGCACGCTCATCATTGCGATGATTTCTCGACATCAACGACGACATGCCGAATCGTTGCTTTGTCGTCAATTGCTCCTAGGGATCGGGCGATGGTGTCCCCATGCACAGATTTCCACAGGACCCCGCAGTTCGTGCTAAATGGGTCATGTTTGTGAGTGCGAAGCGAGCGTTACGGAAGCCTGAAACGATATCTTACTTGTGTTCAGATCGCTTCACGGAAGTTAAAGAATCAAAACTACTTACTAATTCTAGTAAAATATGCATATGATTGATGACCATAAAGATTTTCTATGACACAACTTGTAACATAACGATTTATTCCTCGGAAGTGAGTTTGTGGTCGAAGTAACAATAATATTGTAAGTAGTATTATATTCACACCCACCTCGCTGCCACGAGAGAAATTGTTATGTTATACGCTATGTCATGCAAAATCCTATTGGCCATCAATAAAATACATATTTTACTACCAGTAGAAAGTCGTTTTGATTTTGTAACTCGGTGAAAACAAACCTAAATAGCATTTATCCTCAGACTGGCGGATGTTCCCGACAGGGCGCCGCCATTTTGAAAATCGTAAAGTCTGTTAGAATTAATGAGATTGTAGTTTGTTTTCATCAAGTTAGAAAATCAAAACTACTTTCTACTCGTAGTTAAATATGTATTGGAATCATAACCAAACGGATTTTGCATGACACAACTTATAACATAACGATTTCTTCCACGGAAACGAGGTGGGGGTCGAAGTCACAATACTGCGCGATACATTTCTTACTACATTCACATGGTTAATGTCCACACACCAGTATGTAGATACTAGTCAATGTGCGTCTGTATATTTGGTCTTATAATCCTAATTAGTTTATTATCATACTTGTATGCATTTTGAAACTAAATAAAAAGCAGACGATCTGCTGATACTTATAGTGAATTTATAACAGAACTGTAATATCTAGACATTTTATAGTTTGCCAATGTGAATCATAATTCGCACACACACCCTAGTACATGTTGTCTGTCTCATTACACTTCACGGCGAAAACAATGATTCTGTTGAATGCTACGACAAATGAATAAAATTCAAATATTAAAATTAAAACAGATTAAAGTTATAGGAACAATATCAGGCCATTACCTTGTTCGAGGAATGTATCCATCAATATCCACAAAACTGTTCCAAATGATGTGTCTTTTAACAGTTTAATATACGAAAAAGTGATCAATCTTTTCAGGTATTGGTGTATAGTCTCATTGGTCACCCTAGATAACACACCTGGAAACTAATTGCATAATGTCCGCCTTTCTTTAAAAACAGTAATTTAGTTAGCCGATAATGGGCAATCAATCAATGTATTGCCGGTTAATCCTTTGAAAGAAGGACGTTGTTTTTACGCAGACAGCGACACGACAGAGTGTATTCAGTATAGATTAGTAAATCTACATACATAAACACTACCTTTTGACAATTCCGCTGTGTAAGATAAAAGTAATTAATCAATCAGCGTGTTATCGGTTAATCCTTTGATCGATGTTTATAATGTTGAATATTTACTCCAGACACAAGAAATGCCAAATGGGAACTTTTGTCGGGTAATCTAAGTGTGTTACCACTAATTATACCTGTTATAAATTCATTAACTGACCATTAAGTGAATGATGACAAATAACATGTGTAGGTTTATACCACCTAACACGGGTTACAATAAGGGGGTATTAATTGCTGTATTGCATGTGAAAACTTAGGGGCCGACACTGTTTTGAGAATACAAACAGATTTTTACATGACATGATTAATTATCGAGGTAAAAAAAACACAGAAATGGGATCAATTTGGATCAGTCATTATACCAATAGGGTCTAACGACACCAATCGATTTTGACAGAATCGTCTATGAAAACAAGTTGTAACTCGGAAACTAGGCAAAGCAGGAGACAAAATTAAATGACAGTAGATTGTGAGAACATATAGCTTTAATTTTCCACAACAATTGTCACGATTTCAGGTTATACAAGCCTGTAAACAAGATAATTTAACCCCTAAAATGTAGATGAATTCTGCATCGTCCCTCAAAGCTATTCCTCATATGACGTCACAGAGGCGCGTCGCTCTGATTGGTTGAAATTTCGTTCGCGGGTTAGAATTGTGCACTGTTGTCAAAAAGGTCGATTTAAGTCATTTAAAGGTCGAAATGAGTAGTTGTAATGACGGGGTTTCATTTATAACGATGCCAGTTAGTGATTTATGTATTTGTACCCCCTAGGGTTTATGTGACCTTTAATATGTCATCGGTCGTCACTGAGGATCCGTCAACTACGTCCCCACGTCCACTGACCTCCAAGGTGAAAGCGCCACCATGTTGAGTGTACCTCAGACGACTGTCACACCAACTGACCAGCCTCCCATGTCAAGTGTCTTCAAACCCTCTGTCACCCCTAATGACCTGTCACCAAGGTCAACTGTACCCCAGCCATCTGTCACCAGTGATGACCTGTCACCAAGTCCAAGTGTATTCAAGCCTGCTGTCACCAGTGATGACCTGTCACCAAGGTCAACTGTACTCCGGCCTTCTGTCACCAGTGATGGCCTGTCACCAAGTCCAAGTGTATTCAAGCCTGCTGTCACCCCTGATGTGATGTCACCAAGGTCGGATGTCCCCAAGTCGTCTGACATCAGAATGGATCCGCCACCAAGGTCAAGTGTCTTCAAATCCTCTGTCACCCCTGACGACCTGTCACCAAGGGCAACTGTACTCCAGCCATCTGTCACCAGTGATGACCTGTCACCAAGTCCCAGTGTATTCAAGCCTGATGTCACCCGTGATGTGATGTCACCAAGACGCCACCAGGGTCAAGTGTACTCAAGCCCCCTGCCACTCCCGAGGGCCTGGCATGGGGAGAGAGACTCTGAGATTCCTGGAATCCACCTCACGGTCTTACAAATATGATATAAGGGGGTACGAAATAGAGGTGGGGGAGATTAATAGATAGTCAGGTTATGGGTTATTGACCAATAGAAAAATGGAAAAGGGTGTTGGCTGTGACGTAGGAACCCAGTTTTAAGCTGAAGCAAAGCTCAGAGACGGGAGTCTGGTGCGGGCCTACTCTTGATGTTGGTCACTAGGAATCGTCTCAGAAATTATCTTGAAGCACCAGCATTTGGCTTAAGACTGAAGCTTTGCGGCTGAAGTCTTATAGAATGACCATAGAGTAGGTTGACCAGCAACACAGTGTTAATAAAAACTATTGAACGAAGATCATCGTCTTGTGTTTGCTGGAGGAACTGCGGTAAAGTTCCAAGGGCCCCCGGGTACTGACACTGTACCTGTCGCATATCCCTTATCGTCAGGTTCGGAGTACGGGGGTATACCGTAGTTCAGGTAACGACACACCATCCAAGGTGTGGGATACTGACAGGTAAATACCATCTACCTGCCAGGTACAGGTGCTAGTCGGAACGCCTTGGAAACTATGACTGCCGCGTTGGGATGCTATGAATGCCGTTTTGAACGCTCGGCGACCGTTCTCGCGCGCTCTTGTCGCTCATACGCGAGTTTTGTTTCCATTTCAAACGGGTTGACTTCCATTACAGATGTATTGTTCCGGTTTTAGAGGATACTGTAGCAGTTTTGGTGATATTTGTTCTGTTTTGGTGCCTATGAGTTCAGTTTTGATGATTTGTTCACCGTTTGTATGGTAGGCCTGATAATAGATACCGTTGATTACTGACTGCTTTACCCGTGATTTGTACTCTGCTGCATTTACTTAAGTTGGGCGGCACCACTTCGACCTCTCAGGTTCGGGGGATTATACTGCAGTCGATAAAACGAACACAGGCACACTGTTTCTGATCGAGAATGAAATAGCGACGACCTATACCGGTCGTTTCCCGCCTCTCCTCAACGACATTGTCCCCTGGCGGCTTCATCATAGATTTGGGGCGGTGGGGTAGCCTAGTCGTTAAAGCGTTGGCTCGTCACGCCGAAGACCCGGGTTCGATTCCCCACATGGGCACAATGTGTTAAGCCCATTTCTGGTGTCCCCCGCCGTGATATTGCTGGAATATTGCTAAAAGCGGCGTAAAACTAAACTCAGTCAGTCAGTCATCATAGATTTAAAAGTAGATTTAAAAAGTTGATAGTAGTATATGATATTTATATAGCGCACATGTCCACGTAACCAGTGCATGCTCAAGGCGCTGGTACTTTCCCTCGATCATAATGGATGTCAATCTCAACGGCACATCGTATTATCAATCTCAACTCCCCAGAGAGCATACAACTCTCGCAGCCACTACGCGCACCGAGTTTTAAGGCTTTGTCATCCTTACGTGGTACCCATTCAAAGCTGGGTGGACTGGGACACATAGTCACAGTACTTTGTCCAGGTTTTCTGGACGTTGCTGTACCTGCAACTAGGTGTTTGCACGCATTCTTGTGGTCACCATCTGGTCATTTACCGACGGATTCGTGGGTTCTTTTAAGTGCACATGGTTATGTACTTGGGGTTGCACTAGGGGTTGTGACAACACTGAAAGAGTCTGCACACAAAGTTGACTCCAAGGTTCTTACACCCGGTCACAGGTGGGCTAGATCCGACACCTCAACCTCACTGGATCACTAGCCTGGCGCTTTAGCCAGCTCGCCCAACGCGCCCTCAATAGGTGACTTACATTCTATATGCACATGTAAGTTTTCAGTTGTCACAACACTCAGCGAATGTATTCAACTCTTGAAAATAAATCAGGCTCAATCGTAAAATTTAGTTAAAATTGGCTAAATTGGTCGAGGCATAACCGAAGAAGCTTTTCAAGGAGAGACCACTCCCCATCTTCTATTCTCCTTGGTGAAAGGAGCCCAATGGTGCTTGCTAGCTGTACATTTGAAAACGCTTTTCTTTCTTTTTCTTTTTTTAGTATCAACACAAATTGGAGTATTTATAGCAATATTTTTTAGTCTCGTGTTCCACAGGAACTTGTGAACCTTTCATCAGGTACGGAAGATAACTCCATCGATAACTGGGTACTCCGTGACCTATGGTTTGGATGAGATCGTCGACATGTAGACTCCCTGATGTAACAGCTATAAATGCCAGGTGTGTCGTAACCGAGTCTAGGGCCCCAACCCCTTCATGGAGTAACTGGGAACTGGGTCGCCAAGGGAACCTTCAACAGGTGCCTAAGCGTACTGCCGTTCTGTGACTCAATTGTTAGTTCAAAACATTACTCTGCTCTGACCCTGAGCTGAGATCTGTTGGCTAGAGTACAGTTTGTATCCCGCTTCAAGAGACTGTTCAAGGAATACAATTCCATGACATTGTTGCAGTTGCGCGCTATCGAGGTGCATACAAATGATCGTTTGGCTGCTTTTAAAGTTTTATTGACATTCGATTATTTGATTATTCGTCATATTAAAATGAAAATTTGGATTTTCCTTAGTCACACCATTATGAGACTCTCCTGTAAATGTGAAGTGTTTCTGACAATTTGATTTAGTAGCACTGTTTGCTGGAATGAGTAAACGCCATTGCCAAAATCAGTAAGAGGATAGTCTCACTTAATGTACTTGTCTTCCCAATTTTCTACACCATTTTGAATATGTTATCATAAAAAAATAGCATCATACATGCCTGGACATCAACAGTTGACATCAACTACAAGATGATGATCGATGGTTGGTGGAGCAACTGGGTGGTGGTGATCGACAATAAGGGGGGGGGGGTGCGAACTTGGAGATGATCGATGGTTGGTGAACTATTGAGTGATGATCGACGGTTGAGGAACTACTGTAAGGAGATCAACAGTTGGGAGAACTAATAATAATATTTATAATAATATTTGCATTCATATAGCGCATCAATCACTAGTAAATGCTCTGTATGCTTTAGATGGAAATTGACACATGAAAAGATGTGTTTTGAGGGCAGTCTTAAAAGATGTTAGTGACACGCTGGTTTTGAGTTCAAGCGGCTGTGCATTCCACTTCATTGCTGCATTGAAAGCGAACGACTTTTTTGCCAAAGTTGGTTTTGATGTTTGACACTGTCACTGGCATTTGGTTTTGTTATCTCAGCGAGCGTGCACTGATACAGGAGCAGTAACTCTGCGAGGTAGTCTGGGGCCATTCCGTTGAGACACTTGTACCTCATTCCCGAGGTTTTGTTAGTCAATTCTTGCGGTGATTGGTAGTCAGTATAGATCTTTTAGTATTGGAGTAATGTGATCGAAGACTTTAGACTTTGTAATTGGTGATTTCCCATTTTTGGCAGTCTGTTGTGCACTGGACCATGCAGGTGTTGTATCTCACTGCCAAAATTGGGACAACTGGTGTGATCAATTAAGATCAATTAGGTCTCGTCACTAAGGTGGTTACTAATTTGCTACTGGGACAATGAGGACCAATTAGGCACTGAGGATGTTTGCAGAATAGAGCAGAGGTTAGAGTAGGATGCTGGTGTAGATAACTAATTTCCCGAGTAGATGAATAGAAAAGAAGGATGTTTGATTTAAATATAGTATATAGAGATTTGAAACTGAATTTCTTGATACACTTATGCTTACTATGGAAGAGAAAGGACAGATCCTGGATGGAAGAAAGCAAGGTGCCGACATGCTTTTGGATGGCTATCGCTATATCAGACGGAAAGTGAACAAGAATGGCACAATTCCATGGAAGTGCCAGGCTGTAAAAAGAGAAATGTCTTGCGACAGTGACGACAACTACTGATGGTACAGACATCCGCAGAGGCAAGGAGCACACCCACACTCCTGACTACAGTGTTGTTGGTGCACACCTTCTTGCCAATAACATGAAGAGCAAGCCCGGGAAGAAGTAACTACCATCCGAATGATCTACGAAGAGGAGAGGAAGAAGCTCCTGACTGGTTACAAGTCTGCTGCTCCAGAAGAGATTGCTGCCCATCTCAAGATGTTTGGAGGCATCAAGGTACAATCATCACCATTAAAATTCTTTGTTATTCTGTCCTCTTCTTCACTCGACATAGGAGTTGATTAAATCAATTAAGACTCATTCACGATGTGTCAAGGGCTAATTATGAGGTGTGAGTCATAAACTGCCAAAACCGGGACAACTGTTCTAGCTCATTAACCAGGTGTGTTAATTGACTGCCAAAAGAGGGAGCAGTATTTGGAGGGCTTTAAGGCAGTGTTTGCAATACTTTAAATTGCAAGTTGGCCATCAGGGCCTGCTGCTGCCTGCCTGCAGGCTTTTAAATCCACAGGCCAAGAATGAAATCTGCAAGCCCATTCTTTTAAAGTCAAACCAATAAAACAAAATAGTCTACAATGTACACGTGTTCACACTGTTTCTACAAAATCAAATAGCGAAGCCTATACTGCAGAGAGAAGTTTTTATTCGTTAAAGACTGGTGATGACATTCTTATGCTCAAATACCAGGAAGTGAAACTATCAGTTATCGTAACATGATGGATCATGGATGATTCCCGAACGGTTATATGGTTGGTGGACCTACTGGGTGATGGTCAGCGATTGGTGGAACTGCTAGGTGGAAATTGACAATGGGGATAACTACTGGGTTTTGATCAACACTTAGTGGAACTACTGGGTGCTGATCGACAGTGAAGGGACCACTGGATGATTATTGCAACTGGCTGTATGCAGTAATGGGTGGTGGGTGGTGGGACAGCTGGATGATGATCGACAGTGGAGGGAACAACTGGGTGATGATCACTATTTTATGTGTGTGTGTGTGTGTGTGTGCGCGCGTGCAGGGGGCAGGGGGGGGGGGCGCTGTACTACTGGCTGTTGATTGACAGTTGGTGGAACTACTGGGTGATAAACGACAGTTGGTGTGACTGCAGGCTGATGATCGATAATTGGGAGAATTACTAGGTGATGATCCCCAGGTGGTGGAACTACGGGCTGATGATCAGCAGTGGGGAGAACTACTAGGTGATGATCCCCAGGTG